GAAATTACCATAAATCACTATGGGACATTACTCCAAAAGATGACATTTTCTTTCTAATTTTAGTTTTTTACAGTTGTGATTACAGATTTTGCCCTACAATTCCTAGTCAAAAGGGATTATCAGCAATTTCCCCTAGTGGTTAGGGCTCTTGACACCCAGGGATTGTAAAAACCCTAATGATTAGGGGAAGCTATTGGAAATCCCTAATGGTAACGTCAAATAGCCGAACAGCACATATTGTTAAATGAATTCTGATATTGAGAGGGTGGATTTAGATTTCGAGGTCGGAACTAAATTTCTATAAGTAAGATTTAAGAGTGCTTTTAGTCAAAATGTGAAATACTGTAGCTAACTAAATAACTATAAATAAAAATTTATATAATATATTTGTTTATTTATATTTTATATTATAAATTATTAAAAGCCCAAAAAAGCAACTGCTAAGAAAATCAGGGGGATTAACGTCCAGTGACATTAAGTTCTTTCACCCAGAGAAACAACTTCACCTATTCACGAGTGGTCAACTTCSATGTTGAGATCAACAACAGGATCTCCAAGGCCAGCGCTACCTTTGGAATACTACGTCTGGAAGCGGAGATGACTGAGCTTGACTACCAAACTGAAGGTTTACTGTGGAGTGGTATTTATCACCCTCCTCCAGACAAGTCAACCACTTTCTCACRAGTTGCCTCAGACTTCTCCGTATCAAGTGGAGGGACAAAATTTCTGACACGGAGATCCTTGCGCAAGCTGGMATACCCAACATCTACACCTTCTTACAGAAAGCACAGGCCAGAAGACATCGTCAGAATGCCTGACAGTAGCCTACCCCCTGAGCTTAGCAGGGGAATCGAACACTGAGTTGTGGAAAAAAAGGGACGATTCAAAGATTGCCTCAAAGACTCCCTCAAGGATCATCTGATCATTGGCATCAACAGCAAGGAGGAACATGTTTTGGACTGCTCAAGCTCACCACTGGAGCTCGTGCAGCTAAAATTCAACGCACCACAGAGGCTTAGAGAAAACGTGCTGTATGCAAAGCTCAAGCTGCCTCCATTTTAACTACAGCACCGACCCACTTGTGTACTACATGTGGTCGAGCCTTTAGGACCCGGAATGGATTTATTATTCACCTTCGTACCCACAGTCACCGTTCTTCAATCCAGAATTGAAGTCATGGTCACTGTGGGTACGAAGGTGACTAATAAATTTTCGACATCGAAGGATGAACAGCATACCACATTTTAAATCTAAAAATTAGCGAAAATCATTCTTTTCTTTCGAATGAGCGCACGCGAGCCGATAGTAGTGTCAGCACAGAGTGCATGTCCTCTTATTGACRCACTRTTATCAGCCAATAAACGAGSGAGAATGTACACAAGAGTAAAAACAATTAYTTTTTGTCAGTTACACATCRACATATTTTTTTAACAYATGCTCATTGTGTAGTTCCAGAAAATATCCATACCCCCACCATGGAGGGTGTAGGGGGTTAAAGTGGTTTGGAAATTTCGAGTGAGTGGGTGGGTTAATCTGCAATCAATCTACAAAAAATCGATATGCGTTATTACCGCATTCTAACTCGCTGGTCGCTCTTTAAATAGTCAAAATCAATGTGGTACTTCGTTGTTCCATCTCTGTGACTTTAGTTTATTATTTCTCCTCTGTTCTTCTGATAAAAAACATTTGATTTTAAATTGCCAAGCGTATTTTAACATAGTTAATGATTTTAATAAATGCGTATCTTGTGTTGACGGAATTTCCGAGGGGGGGGTGGGGGTAATACCTGCCTTTTTATTGGAAATTCCGGAGGCAATGTGAGGCAATAGCAACGACTGTCCTTCTAGTTGTATATCAAGTGTATCATAGGTAATTATATAGATATTTCTCTATTTTCTTGCTTATTATTATGATTGAATATCAATAAAACTCTTTAGAAAATTCTTATTACTTAAGTAATAGATAACTTTTTCCATGCATACATAGCCTGATGCAAACATGAGGGTAGGTTGGGAGAATTCKAGACAGTTATTCAAACCCTAGACGAAGTGGAGTTGGTATGGAAATGATATCAGGATGAGATTAATTTTTGAAAAACTGCACGAAGATACTTGCTGAAAGACTTGTTTTGACACTTTAAATKATSTTTGATTAGCCGCTTCGACATGCCGGCACTTCAGAATCACMGACGAAAAAAWTCACAAAGCCACAAATAACACATGAAAGCATTGGTCGTATGAACTCTGTTTCGTGGATAAAGGTGGAATTCATGTTCATAGAGAAAAATTGTACTTTTGAAACGCTCTAACTTTTCCGCAACTAGACACTCCTGGAGCGTGAAGTCGGACTAGCTATTTTTGAAAATTGACTAAGACACAAGTTCTCAAGTGATCGAAAGGTTTTAAGTTATGTTCTGTCTAATCATAGATGATCATATTATGAATGTAAATTATGGCGTAGAATATATATTTTTTACTTCTAATGCATAGTGAAAGCAAGAATGCGTTATTTCACTTAAATTAATGTACTGTTCAAAACCGTTTATTCACACGATATGATATTCTTTTTGACTGCTCTTTGCAACGACTTCAAAACGATAGAAATCTAAATTTGACCTAAAAGGTCATGTAATTAATACCCTGCGAACAACTTACAACTGAACTGATAAAATCAAACACGTCAGACTAAATGTCGCTAAGTGATATCATATCTAATACGTTTTTATTTCAAATTGTTGACCTCTCAGGCCAAGAAAAAATTTAATTTAAATCTTTTATTTAAAAAATAAAAGATGCCTATAAAATAATCAAAGTCGCCTTTTTGTTATTGATAAACAAAGTTTCTTCTTGTTCTACTTTGAAATCTTTGCCCAAACAAGACTGTCTAACACTAGAATTCAGTTTCGTACAAGCATACTACTCGAAGCTCCATGCGATCCGCACATGCATGTACGTCTGATGCCTAGAATGATGCATTCCGATGAGATCACAGATACCACATTTGTAAACGAATAGTTTTTTATCATATAAAAGCGCCAGTAGCATTTAACATTTAATAACGATATTCATACATCTATACGTTTGAGCTTCCGGTCATGTAACAACACAGCCAGCCCAATTGTTAATTATTAAATTCTTAACTTCCGGTGGTCCAGACGCGACATGACACATAGATAGATTGACTAAAAGGCTGGTCCGACTAATAAAACATTTTCATTTCAAAATTTGCAAGATTGAAAATCAGATCTGGAACTAAAAAATAGTGTTGGCAAATTTTTATTTTGACTTTCGTTGTTGAGATCTTGCTCAGTTTGTACACWTATACGCAGTAAATTCAATAATCAATAATTGAGACTCTGTAGCAGCTGATCTAAAGCACTCATGAAACACGCGACACTGTTTTGGACATAAATGTATTAGGAAAGTGCCAACGTCGTTTTCACTACTAAGACGGCAATCCTGACAATTTTAAGGCAATTCAAACAAGGTACTGTCAAAATACGCTCTAGTCGGAATATCTTTATGGAGTTTTAAGTTATGGAAATTTCGAAATAATTTCCAAAAACTAAATTTATTAAGCATTTCAAAAATGTATACTTTTATTGAGGTATTTTACAAAGCCGGCACGTAATTTGAGTTTGTGTGAGTAGTGGTCGTGAACCCCCCTTAAAAGTGCGAATATCCATGAAAAGTGTGAGAAATTGAAAATAGTGTGATTCAGTGTAATTTGAGGTAAATAGTGTAATATCGCACTCTACCAGATTCACTGCATCATGCACTGATTCACCCTTATTTAAACTTTGGTATTTGTGCTTGGTGCTAAGTCTCTAAATTCTTAGTTRAYGAGCTCTTAATCTTACAAAAATGTGTTCTCAGACTTTTTGTTTTCTAACTTAAGAGACAGCACTCTCCCTCTATTTATTAAGATCAAAATCCTGCTCATACATGTAAATCTCTGTCTAMCAATCTGTTGCTAATCTAAAAAAATTCATATCTCCAAGCAACTATGTAAAATTTTGTTTATCACAGGGCTCAAAATAACGGCCGGTCAACGGACAATGACCGGCCAAAATTTGCACTTGTCCGGTCAAACTCCATTTTGGCCGGTCATCTTGACCGGTCAAGACTATAACGTGAAATAAAAAAACTATCAAAATAACTACTGCAGCGGATTAGGTCGACTGTAAAGTAAACGAACGATTCTTGGACGTTGGAAATATAGCGTTGTCCAGCAAACATAACGGGTTCTCATTGAAAAAGTTCTCAGATTTTTGTCTGGTTTTATGATGAGTATCTGTCTGGTTTTTCGTTGTACAAACATTGCRCCACGCACTGCATACAAATGACGTGCTCATTTCTCACAGCAACAATAGTTTTCTGGTAGAACGGATTTCGTATGACTGTGCAAAAAACATGGTACCTCCGTGCTGTGACTGTACCGACATTGTTTTAAGGATTTAAAAATCCTTATTTTTGTTTGGAATCCTAGAAGGCGAGGTTCCATGCCCGTGTCGTGATCCGTGCCTTTGCACAGTTATACGAAATCCGCTCTAAAATAACGATCAATTCGTCAGTCGTGTCAGGTCTTGCGCTCTCTTCATTCACTGTAAGCTTCCTTTGCTGATTTCGTTGCAGATTTTCTTATGGTGTTTGGATCAATTACTCCCCCAACAAAGTCTGCGCACTCGAGCGACGGTTTTGTCTGCCGTGCTTGTAATATGTTCCATTACACGCAGTTTATTTGTTTTTCGTATGTGTGAAATGTCATTTAGCAAAAGACAAATCAGTAAATAGTTAAACAAATCAGTAAATCAGCGTCGATCTTTGTACTTTTTCGCTTTTTTCGTGGAATTTGATTGTTACTAGCGATTTTTTTTTTTGCAAGATTTTCATGCTGCGTGCTAAATTTTTATTCTAAGTTTTTGTTCTTTTTTGTCTTTTGATGCCGATAAAGTATGCTTTTTGTATGGATAAGATATGTTTTAATTGAAGTTTTTATGTTTATTTTTTTTACAYAATTTTTTATTTTATTTTTGTCCGGTCAAAATTGTATTTGAACGGTCATCATGTCCGATCACTGACCGGCYGTTATTTTGAGCCCTGTATCATRCATGTATGATAATCTATGAAAGCAAATCATAAAATAACTTTCCTTTACCTATAGTATTATTTTTAGTTAAAAAAAAAACAACTTTTCAAAAGTGAGAAATAATGGTATTTCATAGATAATGTAAATATGATAAAACTAAATATATTACATGTACCTGTGCTCTGATTCCACAGTGGCATGCCTAGGCATCTCTAGTTCACTGTTACCCAGATCCAAGGAAAAAATTTCTAATGCAGCACTTGTGCTAAATGTAGCATCAAGCTGCTGTGCTGCAGTCCCTGCTGCAAGAAAGATAGGATACTGCTCAGCAGGACTCCAAGCCACATTGGCTGTTCTCTTAATTTCTTTGACTTTCATGACCAATAAATGAAGTGACAAACTATAACACAAAATAAAAAACTATTAAAAATAAATGGGATACAATTTTACTTAAATCCTTTACTCTTTTAAAACCAATTGTAAATATTTTTAATTTAAAGTACCCTTATCACAAGTCTAAAACATACAGAATAAACGATAAATTTAGTGAAAACTAGTTTCGTTCGAAAACCTCTTCAGTTCACTAAAATGTCTGTTATATTCACGAATAAAACAAACAAACACTAAGGAAAAACAAACACTTGCATGTGGAATGTTCAAGAAGTTCCATTCTTCTTTAGTGTTAATTTTGGGAGCCCCTCTGATAGGATCCAGTTACTTAACAAGTAAAGTCAGGTATTACTCCATCATGGTTTTTTTCTCGCATGCATCCATAGTACAGATCTATCCTTCTTGGAGTCCATATCCTTAATANTGTTCATATAATTGTGAACCAAATAAAGGGAAAGGGTGACAAAATGGCATTTTATTACTATATCCATTAATATTTTATTGTTTCTAGTTATGCTGGAGATGCCGACATCAAGCTATCAGTTAAAGGTGTATCTGTTGGCATTGAGGATTTACAGGTGAAAATTCAATTTTTTAACATTCCTTTGGGTTTTGGAAACCACTGAAAGTCTTTATATTTCCAATTTTAGCTAAGAGGAACCTTGCGAGTTATTTTGAGCCCACTTGTGCCATCTTCACCATTGGTTGGTGGAGTGTCAGTGTTTTTCCTTAACAGACCAGTAAGTTTCACTAATAAAACATTAATTATCGCTTTTAAAATTTGAAATGCATGTATAATTAGATTATTATTGATAATATGATATGTATTGTTTTATAAAAATAAATATGTTTGAATACAAAATTGTTTTCCCTAGCATGAAATGTCTGACTCCTATTGTAATTACAACTTCAGTGATGATATTGCCACCATTGCATTTTTTTAAAATGTAATATTATGTAATCATGCTTTTGTTTTGTTTTGATATGCTTTTTTTGTAAATAGGATATTGATTTTGACTTGACAAATCTTCTTAACATACTGGACATCCCTGGACTGAGGTGAGTATAATATGGGCTATTGACATTTTACAGATATATATGTTGTAGTTCAGGTTCAATATATTTTTGAACCAGTTTCATCTAATTTGTTCCAGTACAAGACTTCTTAAAAGAACTAAAAGAACTATATCCCATCTCATTCTCTCTCATTTTCTATCTATCATCTTATTTTCTACCTTCTACTATTTCCTAGTTTATCTTACCCTATACCCCTCAGAAATATTTTTTCTATATTTTTAATTTATGAGTAACACTTACCTTCATCAGGGTTTGAACGACTGAACTCTTGCTTCATAGTCCACAGGACTACCAATTATACCATTAARGATTTTGTTGGTAKTAATGTTTGCAAATTGTTTTTATCTTAATTGTAATTTATTAATGAAGAAAATTTTTATATAATGCTGGCTCAACCCTATTCCCAACCCTAAACCTAACCCTAAACCTAACCCTAAACTGATTTGTACTGGATTGAGTTATATTGGACTCTGTCTCAAAATAAACTGAACCAGTTCAGAAGAAATTGAACTGGTTCAAAATCATATTGAACCTGAACTACAACATGTCTGATGGCATTCTTTACATTCAATCTCATATGTGGCATTAGGAGCATTGCAAGGACCCTTCCCCACTGTTGAAGCAGTCTTCCTCAWTGCACTTCCTGTCTTTAAAAAGATCCAAAAGTTGTAACATTCTTTTTACACTTATTCCATTCTTCTCGATGATCTTTATCTTTATCCCTGACTCTCTTACATCCTTCTCCAGTTTTACTTTCAACTCAGAATTGGGGGAAAGCAGGCACAAAAAGCACAATACTGCACCCTCCTTTCCTGAATCATTTCACTAAATTTATCGTTTATTCCGTATGTTTTAGACATGTAATAAGGGTACTTTAACTTAAACATACATTTATACATTATGAAAAAGTCTTTTGAATTCAAACTTAGAAGCATCTTTTAGTGTGGGGCCAACCACGAAAAAAAAACACAAAAAAATGAATAGCTCTATCTATCTGATAAATTTTTATCAAGAGTTGGTTAAAATCCAAAAAAATTGTAGGAGCAGATAACTTAAACCACCCTTTATATAACCCACCCCCATATACATACATGTATTGTGGATGTAGGCATACACGCACAATGTCCTTTATAGGTTTACTAGTTCCTAAAATAGGGCATTAATTTAGCTAGAATGTACTCTCAAACTTTATCTACATGTCCATGWAACATGTTGATCCGTCTAACAAAAATGGTAAAATGATAGGTCATGGCAATGTTTTGATGGTATGGGATGATCCAGCATTTCTCGTTTGTTCGGAGCTTTAAGAAATATAAGTCTTTAATAAATTTCAAGAAGTAAAGAAAATTAGACAATTAAAATTCTGTTAAGCTTAACTTAAGCTTACATGCCGAGGTGAAGTTCGTCTATATTGACGACAGAGGACTGTACCAATACAGTTACTCTTCACGAGACGAAATCTCTCTCGGAAAATAATCCCTTCAATTAAAAAAACCCTCAAAAAAAGACGTCAAAAAAGACGTCTTTCATAAATCTCATGTAGAAGGCCTGATTGAACTGTGAGAAGAAATAACTTAAGCTTACAAATTTCCCATGACAGTCACAAAGCAACTCCCCAACGAGTTGAGACTTACCAATGAATCAACTTTTTCTGGCAGTTAAAGCTTGTGACAAGGTGAATTCAAGTTAGTAGCTTTACAAAGATCCAGTGTTGATGAGAGGAACCTTYTAAATTAGATCGTACCCTTACTTGTTAACGTTGTAAATTTAACACAAGCAACGTGGCAAAATATTRTCAGTAGTCTCACTAGCCTCGACTAAGTGCAAGCTGCTGACAAGTTATTRCGCGGACTCAGGCCCTTAGTTCAAACACAGGTAGACCAAAGCAGGTTACTACTTCATGGTGGAATCCATGTGCAATCTGAGAGTTGGTTTCCTTGCTTCATTAAAAAACAGACAAACAAATTTTTCTATTTTATTATCCATATGATGTATCATATTAGGTTCTCTCTCCTTGTTGTTGTTGCTATAGCTTAGCCTGCGTAGCGGCTCTAGGCCGGGGAGAAGAGTGGAAAAACGGAAGCGGAGGGGGTAGGATAAACAAAGGCATATTAAAAATGTCGTACTAGTAAATCCTCTAAAAATCGAAATGTTTCAAACCAGGAAGGTAAGAGACGTTTTATCTACGTTATAATATTTTTATTATAATGTCATTTAAGGAAAAACAAGATATTGTGAGTACGACATACGTAGGGAATGCCCAATATTTAAATCAGGAGACAGGGGGGGGAAGGTGGAGCAACATCTAATTTTATGTGCTTAAAGAGGGGGGCAACTAGAATTTTAATTGGAAACTGAAAATCAACGGTTTCAGATTCGAAAACTCAAGACTCCAAAAAGCGTGCATTAAACCCTTTTAGCGATCTCTTTTACGCTGAGTTAGCCTCAAAACCATTCTTTTATTCACAACAGCACGTGCAAATGCAAGAGATCTGTGAGTATAGAATATTTTAGCACAAAATTGAGGCTAACACAGCGTAAAAGAGATCGCGAMACTCGACTATTTGCGACAACTCTTTATTCACGATTCACGAATAATAAATAAATAAATTCACGGGGGTCAGAGTGTAATTTATTTCGTTTGCGAGGGGGGGG